TGTCCCAGTTGTGAGTGCTGAAAGGGCAAACTCACATGGACCTCCAGAGTACTCCCGAACGCTCCCAAACGCTCCCGCGCCGCGCGTACGAACGCTCCCAAACGCTCCTGCACCCAGTTTGCAAGCACTTTGGAGCCCCTACGATTACTCGAGCTACGGGCTCTAGGCCCGGGACTCGACAAGGCTTCGAAGTAACGAATTCTGACCTATGTGTCGAAACAAGCCTCGTCGCTACTACAGCATGGGACCTGGGAACACCCTCCCCAGAGAGAGGGGTGTTTGTTTGCTAAGTCCCGCAAAGTTTTCGTGCGGAGCCCTAAACTTAAATTACGTCCACGTGGATCCTCGCCTGGCAAGTCCGAGTGGTGAGAGCGTAAATTAGTGACTCTAAATGGGAGTGGGCCCAGCTTGCGAGCAGCTGGTGGAATTCGTAAGCTTTCACACGGCAATTCCAAACCAAAGTGACTCAACAGTTCGCTTCAAGATGCGAGACTCAATCCGGAGCACCCTGCAATTTCTTTAAACCGAAACTCAGTGGCTCTACCTTTTGCTATTTGGGTCAGAACGTAGAATTTCTGCGATACAAGCTCCTTGAATCTGAAACCCTAAACCCTAAACCCCTAAACTAAAGGCCCTTTTATTAAACCCTAATGACCCAACTCCACTCCGTTTGCTTCACGCTCTACCCCAAAGTGGTCCCAATTTCCAAAGCGTTTTCAGTCACCCAAACTCCAAATTTGTAAATTTGAATCTCAAGCTTCACCCGAGACCCCAGGTCCTGACCCAGTAACGCTCAAAAGTTTTTACCTTATGCGGTACCTTGGACCCTAAACAGCTTCAAGTGGACGTTTCTCGGGTTTGGAAAAATCCTTCAGTGCGTGAAGCATCATCCTGAGATTTTCACAGGAGTGGTTCAGGATCTTGGGTGCGAGACTTTAGCCAAAAATGCACCCCGACACTATAAAGGAAACAGCCGCAACCCAGCAACTTCAAGACGATAAGGATCACATTTGCGAACAGCTTCAGTTTGCGCCGGGTGATGTGTGTACCCAGAGGATGTGTGCTTTTGCGCTCCTTGTCAGTTCGCGCGCTGAAAGAACTGCAACCGATATCGGTCACTCTCGCAATGTTGGCTGAGTTTGATACTACTGCGTTTTTTCCCGCATGTCCTTTACTGCGCACGATATCCCCGAAACGTCCCCGAAAAGGTCGCCCCAAAACGAGCCTGCACCAACTTAATACTTCGAGTAGTATTCCCTTTCAAGTGGCGAGGAAGTGCAGGCGAGTCTCAAGTCTGCAGCATTGCTTCTCAGATCCTTGTCAAGTGCCATGCATCAACACACTTGCGCATCCCTTCCTGAAGATGCCTCGTATGCCGTGCTGAGAGAAACTGTGTTGCGGTACGAGCGTGTACAATTTCGTTGGGGTGCTGGTAATGTGTTTGACACTGTTTTGCTCGGGACCAAAGCCAATGACTTGCCGACTCCCATGGAGATCGATCGTGTTGGAAAAGGCGAAGGTAGCCAGCAGAGAGGTGGCAAGGACAAAGGCAAAGGTAAGGGCAACCAGCAGAAAGGTAACAAGGGCAAAGGCAAAGGCAATCTGCAGAAAGGTGACAAGGCAAGCAGCAGAAAGGTGACAAGATCAAGAATAAAGGCAAGCAGCAGAAAGACAAGAGCCACATCCAGTGCCACAGTTGCCCTTCAAAGATTCCAACATTTCCCGCTCAAGCTGCGTAGAAAGCCCCTTCCTTCCGGAATGAATCTTCTTGCCGTGACCTCCCTCATCCGAGATCTGGGTTGGTTCAACTGGGGCTCTCAGTGTCCGTCCATATCCTTTTGGATTCTGGACGCTCTAGTGTGCTGGATCTCAGGCTTACTCACTGGGATTGTGCTCGCCAGCCAGAGTTGCCGCCAGCTACTGCGACAGCTACTTTGGGCAGGTGTTCAAGATCCGCACCGGGTCTACGAGGATCGGCTGGCGGGTTACCGCGCTCGAGCGCACTGAGCAGACCCTGAATCGGAGATGGTGTCCGCCTCTCAAGTCTCACGACTGAAGCTGGCTAGCCAAGGTGCAGCATTCACATGGCTCCTTCTCAAGGTGCCCGATGGGCGGCAGATTGCTGCGGTGCACGTGCTATAAGCGTGGGGGCATCCTACTAGCGATTCCGCTCCTCGCGTTGATGGAAGACGAGCTCGGAAAGCAATCGCCGGAGTAACCGACGATTTTGGGCCTACCGAGAGCTGCCCTGTGCGGGGAGTTCCCCCCCAACGACTTGCGAAGAGGGCCAAGAAATGGAGAGGGAAGTTATCCTGCTCGATTGGCCTTCGCCCGGGAACCAGTTCCTCGAGAAGCAGTCACAAGCGCCAGCGATGGATAACGTGATCCAGTTCATGGACTCAGCCGGTACCGGTGCTGCAGTGGTGTGCCCGGCTGCAGCGGAATGGCACCGTGTAGCGGACGAGTGTGCGAACGGAGGAGGTGTCCGCGCTACCAGACCGCCGAGGAAGCCCCGCCAGCCCAAAAGAAGCGTGGAGCGGTGTTGGATGCCATCCTGCAGCAAATGCAATCGATGCAAGCGCAGATCTCAGCTTTGCAGGCAGGCCACGAACCAGGCCAGGAACAGGCCCGTCGCAGCTCAGACGCGCCTCGCAAGACCGAGGGGTCGTCAGCCTCGCCAGCTCGTCAGAGGAGGAGGACGGTCTCGCCAAGTTGCCCGGTGCCAAAAGCACAGTTCTGGGGGAGAAGCTAAAGGCCGCGATGAAGAAGAATCCCGAGGCGTACTCCGTCGCCATCCTCAAGCTCGTTGCGGAGTCGGTAGGTTCCGATGTGTTCCGCATCGAGGATCTGGAGCAGTTCTTCAAGGAGGAGATGCCAGTGGGGACACAGAAATCCCTGGGCTACAGGACGGGGAACTTGTATCTACAAGTTCCTGCGCACGGGGCAGGTAGAGAAAGCAAAGCTGCAAGTTCTGCTGGGTCTGGCGGCGACCGAGGAGTTCCTCCTGGACCAAAACTGGGGCTCAGCAGAAAGGCTGCTGCACATCCCCAAGCCTCCATTCCAGACATGGCGGGCGAACGAGGGATACATTCAACAGCGTTCGTGCAGAGCTGAGCCTCGCGGCTTATTCCGCCTACGTGGGCCGCGTTCATAGCACGTCTCCGAGACGAAGAGGTGCTGGTCCGTCGGCACGGAAAGTTCAAAGGCACCGGCAAGGGCAAAGACGAGAAGGGCGGCGAGAAGGAGTGAATGGCAGCGTCAAGACTCCTCTAGTAGCGCAGAGCTGGGGCCATGCTTCAGACCTCTGCTTGAAGGGTTTGCGTTCTACCAACACTAGCTTTTGCAGTTGTCTTCGCTCTGCAATGGCTACAGTACCTTGGGCCACGTCGCCCATGAAGCACATTATCGGGCCAGTCGAGGCATACGCTGTGCTTACGGCTCGCAAGGTGTTTCATCAATCCCTCTCAGGGCGCTACTGCACTTACTTCATGGATATGATGCTGTCATGCTCAGCTACATTCGCGGCACATCGACCAGCAGGCGTTTGAGAGACTTGCTTTTACCTTGGGAGTCCTTAGAGCAACACGCTCACACGTGGTCGTGGTGAGTGAAGAGGATATTGGAAAACGACGGGCGAAATCAACAAAACAAAATCGGAAAACCCAGAAGGCGTTTTCCGAAAAAGCCCGTTCAAACACACAAACCCAGAATCAGAAAACAGCGACGACGATATCAGAAAACAAGCCCAAAATCAGAAAACAAAATCGGAAAACAGAGAAGACCAAGTTGCCTATCGCAGTTACCCGCATCGGTTGAACTTGCTCAGATGAGAAATACTCGTTTTGCATGTATGGAAAGTAGACATCTTCGAATCCTCGTAAACAAATTGGCAACTTCATTTTGGTTGACAGTGACTTTTCCATATATCGTTGAGAAATCTGCATCGGTTCCACTTCGTCAAAAGTGCACATCGCAGTTAACCGCATCGGATGAATTTGCTCAGATGAGAAATACTCATTCTGCCTGTATGGAAAGTGCTTGTATATGTCATATATATCTATGTATTATATTTTCTTTATCTACATATGTAGTAAATCGGCTCTTTGTCCTGATACACCAAACGAGGCCAAGACGTGCTGCTGGATCAGCCATTCTGCGGCCCCGGTAGGCTACAGCGTCTGTAAATCGAGAGGGTGTCAAGTTCAGGGAGCAGCATGTTGCAGCACATGGTTGGGTTGGTGGGGGTGGGGGCGGGATAATAACGGTCTTTGTTTAATGCATCGGATGAACTTGTTCAGATGACAAACACGGTGAAGCATCAGCAAATTCATATTTGTTGACAACGACTTTTCAATTCTCGGTGAGAAATCTGCATCGGATCAACTTCGTCAGATGTGCCTATCGCAGCCAACCGCCTCGGATGAACTTGCTCAGATCCTGATCTTGCCTGTATGGAAAGTGAGCCCTGTTTTCTGATATTGTCCGCCGTGTTTTCTGATATTCCGTCTGGTTTTCGGAGTTTGCTCTGTACGTTTGCCTGATTTCTGTTGTTCGGTTTTCAGCTTTGTTTTTGGATTTCGTCCGCTGTTTTGTGATATCGTCCGCTCTGTTTTCGAATTTGTTTTCTGATTTCCTCCGTACCCCCAGGCCGCACGGCTCCCGCTCCCATGAGTGCTGCGGGCTGCCAGCCCGCACGGCTCCTGCTCCCGTCAATGCTGCGGGCTGCCAGCCCAGACGGTTCCGATTTGTTTCAAAATGCACTGCTGCGGGCTGCCAGCCCGAATCGTTTCAAACTGCAGTGCTGTGGGCTGCCAGCCCGCACGGCTCCCGCTCCCGTCAATGCTGCGGGCTGCCAGCCCGCACGGCTCCGATTCGTTTCAAGCTGCAGTGCTGCGGGATGCCAGCCCGCACGGCTCCCGCTCCCATCAGTGCATGCTGCGGGCTGCCAGCCGACACGGCTCCTGCTCCCGTCATTGCTGCGGGCCGCCAGCCCGCACGTTTCCGATTTGTTTCAAACTGCACTGCTGGGGGCTGCCAGCCCGCACGGATCGGCTGGCAGCCCGCTCCGATTCGTGCAGGTGTCAGCCCGCACGGCTCCATACGGGCTCCGATTTGTTTCAAACTGTGGGCTCTCGCCCCTGATGAGTGCTTCGGGCGGCCTGCACGGCTCCCAATCACATCAGTGCTGCGGGCTGCCTTCTCGCACGGCTCCGATTCGCCCCGCACGGTTCCAATTTATCCAATTTGTTTCAAACTGCAGTGCTACGGGCTCCCAATCCGCACGGCTCCTCAATGCTGCGGGCTGCCAGCCTGCACGGCGTTGAAAAGCGGCTCTGGTGCGACGGGCTGCCCGCACGGCTCCGATTCGCTTCGAAGATTAGTGTTGCCGCCTGCCAGCACACACGGCGCCCGTCATCTTTCATTGGTGCTACGGGCAGGCCGAAGAACATCGAAGAACCATGTTCTGGTACTATAGTCGTTTCTGGTGTCGAAAAGCCAACACTTAGTACCAATCTTAAATGCTCCATATGAAACACTGGGAGTGTTGTTCGAGGGCCGGTCCTCGACCAAAGCAGCTTCGACGTGCAGCGCGCGGCCTTCGACGCGGCCTACGAGGAGGAGACGAACCCACGGTAGGTAGGTACCTGGTGTGTTTTGTGGGTTGGTTGTGTAGGAAGTGTAGGATTTTCGTTGAATTGCGGGCTACTGGTGTTTGGGGTGAGTCGTGGTCAGCGATACCACGCTACACCAAGAAAGATCTAGGTCAGGCTATTGCTTTTTCCTGCAAGGTAGTGCATGGCCCGTGTGTAGAAATTAGGCTGACGTCACGCCTCGCGCTCGAGTTTCGTTTCTTGAAGTTTTCCTAGCAACCTCTCGGCGATATTCGTTGCCTTTAGTGCTGCCGTCAGGTTCATGCTTGAGCATTTAGTGGGACCCGGCCCCTTGCAAGGTGCTGCGATGCGCAGAGGTGCCAGCACGCAGCTCATGGGCTGCTTTGGGCTTAAGGTTTGGATGCATGTCTCGCAGGGGAGCCTATTGAATCTCAGGGGTTCGGGTTGATGTGAACAGGTTGTTTTGTGCGAGACATGCTGCTACTTCTATGTTGAATTGCCGCAGCCAGGTCCATGGCCCAAGCCACCATGAAACGCAGCTGGGGCCCATCCCCGTCAAGTAAACTGGGACTGCGAACTTAAATCCGCGGCCGCTGCGCCGCGTACACAGAGCAACCCTCAGCACTCCCCCACTTCGTCCTGCACCATCATGGAAGCTTCTCTTGGCTGCAGCCTCGAAACGGGGAAACTCCCCTGACTTCCACTTTCTCCGAAGCCCGGAAGCTTGTTTAGCTATGTGACTGGAGACTGCTCGGCAGCAGCACTTGCTGCGACCCAGTCCCAGCAACAGCTCGCAAGATCTACGAAGGGGCACATACGGTGTAATACAGCTTACGGGTTACACAAAACCCGGCCAGCCATGGTCGGCCATCCGGTGAGCGCAGATGAGCTGGATGACCGCGCAAGGCATCAGTACAAGGCCTCCTTGGGCCTTTGCTGCAACACCAAGCGCTTGTACAGGCCCTCTAGAGTCTCTATAGAGCTAAAGCCGAGCCATGAGGAGGGCCACGTGGCTTCGGAACGGAGATTCAGGGCCGCACTCGCAGAACACAAGATACTGGGAATTCCGACTCCGTGCACCTCGAACTACCCAGCGCTGACATCGAGGTGGTGCTCCAGTTTCTGCAGGAGAAGGGGCTCTTCGAGACGCTGTTGGCCATGGAGGGCGAGACCGGGGTGAAGTATGCCGCAACTTCTCAGCATTTGCAAGTGGGTATGCCTCAGATCTTCCGGGCGACTCGAGAGACTTGCTCACGGTTCTTGCTAGGTGCGTCGTTTGCCAGTCCCCGTGCTGTGAGGCAGCTGAGCCTCGTTGTGGTCTGTCTCTTCTGTGGCAGTCCTTTTCATCTCCGAGTTGTTGTCATTGCCACGTCGGAGGGCTAGGGGAGACCAGGATGGAGATCTGCCTGTGGCGAGCATCCTCCAGTCGAGCCTGGACATGCCGGGAACCCAGTCCTGGGCAAGCCGGAGGTGTGTTGTTTTGAGAGAGTCTTAGGCGTCGTCGTAGTCCAGGACGGACCGAAGCCCTGTGCCTGCCTTGTGCCAGTGAGTCGAAACCCTCGTTCCCGCTTAGGTTCTCTGCTGCGGACGCCGCCCCAGCCGAGAAGGAAGATGCCGACGGCAAGGCAGCAAGCCGAAACAAACAGGGAAAAAGTGAGAGTTTCAGAATACCTTGAAGTTGGCCTTCAAAGAGTACATACTCCTAGGGCGTGTGCACTCCAGTCCCTGCTCAGAAGGAGTGCAACATTCAACGCATCGAAAGTTTGCAGACTATATGCCTCGAAAACGGCGTAGCGTAGCACTCAGCATGCCCATGTTCATCGAAACCTTAAGGCCTGGACCAATCGTTGATTGGACCATAACTTGCAGTCCTTCATCATTGCTCCCTTGTGACGCAGGGTCTCACTGATCCTCCAGCTCAGGGTGACCACGAGCAACCCGAATCCATCTGCCCGTCATCCCTCCCTCCTGCCGTCAGTCCATGAGTACATGCATGCATCAATATGCCATGTGCGCACGTCTATATGTGCGCACATGAGTGTGTTTAGACACATCATTTGTTTACATCTGACATTTGAGATATACGTGTGTCGATATTTGAAAAAGAAAAGGACATTGCGATGTATCTCGTCAACTGTCTTCCTTTCTGTGTGTCTGTTTGTCTGTCTATTTATTGATCGTGATGGGTAGATCGATAGTCAAGATGATGATAAGGATGGAGATTATACTGCCAACTAACTACACCTACGCGAACATTATACGGGTTTGGGGTTGCCAAGCACTCGCAAGCAGGCGGCTTGCGAAGCGCTGGAGGCGTTGCGAGGCGGCGCCTGTGCGACTCGCCAGGCGGACATCGGAGGCTGGGTGCTCAGAAGGGCGTGTGCTGGCGTGGTTTGGCTCAGAGCGCTACGGCATTGGTAAAGACTGAAATGGGCTGCCTGCAGAAATTTTTTAGTGAGTAATTCGTTAGCGTGAGTGCCTCAAGTGAGCTGTGGCTGGTCCGGGTGGCTAGCTGTAACCTCTGACCTGTACCAATGGCTTCTGCATATTTCGTCATGTGCATTGGGCTGCAAAGTGGGCTGCAAGGTATGATGCAGTGCGGGGCTTTCTGTGCTTCTGAATTCCGGGAGCCTTTTGAGAGTTTGAGATCTCTTGATGGCAATCGTGATTGCTGGCCCCGTTGGTTGTTAGGGGGTTTGGCCTTAGTGTCAGGGCTGCTAGGGCTCGGCTTTGCGAAACTGATTCTCAAGTGCCAGAGGGAGAAAACCGACCGGGCGAATGAACGGCTCGACATGCCCCAGTCGTGCTCGGAACCGTCGTTGACAGATGTGGGATCTCTTGAGCTGTTGGGCTCGGAGTCGCAGGGTCTGTTGACCGGCAAAAGGCTGCTCTCCGCCGAGACGCTTGATAACTATACCTTTGCAGCACCAGGCGCAGGTCTGCAAAGCTGCATGTGTGCGGAAGTCGCCTTCCAAGTTGTAGCTGCCAGGTCCCGATGCCTTTGCGGCCAACGTGACCGCAGTTTGCTGGGCCGTGAGGTCCTTCGACGAGGAAACATCCCGTGCATGATCGGGATTTGTGAGTGGACTTGAGAGACTTCGGGCCGTCATCAGGGTAAGGAATCACCCGGATGAACACACGCAGCGGGATCGGGGGGTTTCAGCTTCTGCCACCCACCGACTACTCCGAGCAGTGAGCAGTGTCTTGGCTTTGCCGAAGCACAAACCTGTGCGAACTTCACCCGTAGCTGTCAACTTCCATGCGTCTAAATGTCGCATCGGGGACGCTCGCCACAGGCGCATTGCATCGTGGCCACGGCAGATCGAAAGTTGCGAAGCTCGGTTGAATTCAGAGAAGCTGGCATGCAGAAGACGATGGCAAATGACAGCAACAACGGCAACAATGAAACTAGAAAGATAGCCTACGACTAGCATCTCTCTAGAGGGAGCCACTTAGTTCAAGGCGCTCCTACTATTACTTTGCAACCACATCAACAATTAAAACTACTGCGCACTCGACTGGCCCAGTGATTGTGGCCAAGAGACGAGGAGATGAGATAAGAAGATAATAGGACCTTTGTTCTTGGCACGCAAGAAACCCAGGCAGTTTACGGACGTTTCCGAAAAAAGTTCTCCTGAAGGGAAGCAGATGGCCCCTTGCACAGAAGACACCACAAAATGGCAAAATCCACATGCTGAGTATGCTCAAGACCGATCTGAGTATGTACCGGCAGGGCGACGCGAGATAACTGGTACGGATGTGTATATGAATAGTGGCAGTCGCTGGTACCGAGAGAGCCCTCCGCTTCACGTGAACACTGAATGCGGAGCCGTCATGCAAGCAGACCAAGGCCTCATCGGCGATCATGAGGCCAGGCCGGTTTTCACACCTTTGTCGGTGAATTCTCCGTTGCTTCATTGATTGTTGGGGTCATTCAGAAGCTATCAGCTTGAAGTCCTATGGGCATCCGCACCTTGGGCTTTTCATGTACGTTCCAATTAGAAGTCTTCACCCCTGCTGAAGAGAATACCAGCCCGCAGGCTTCCAAAACAAAGGCCGAACCGATGCCTGCAGAGGGCATGAAACCCTCTGCGGCCCCAAACCCCACTGCGGGCTCTTGACCCCTCGGTTTTGAGCTCCGCAACCTTAAGCCTAAAACCCCGAGAGCGTAGCTGTCCGAAAGTGGATGGTTCGCCTGCAACTTTGCGACCCTGTGATGCGGGCTTGTCCTTGAGGCAGGAGGCAAAAAATGCGCACCAGACCCAAGCCGCAGTGGACGCCACACCTCGCAGAGTCCTGCGCCAAGCAAGCCTTGCAAGAGATGCACAGAAAGATGAAGCAAGCCGCTTTGCAAGAAGAAAAATATCCACACGGCCTGGCGGCCCGGGACGATGAAGGAAGCAGGGTGTCTCCTTTGCTCCACAGCATGTCGCAGCTCAGACTAAGGATTCCATGAAACCCAAATGGCAGGTTTGGGCGGTTCCTGCCTCCGGGCAAGGCCTTTTTCAGGCGGCCTACTTGGGGGCTGGGCGACCGGGCGCCCAGCGAAGATCGTTGTTGCGAATCCCTGCTTCATCATCGCCGACAGCGTTTGGCCGGGAGGCACGCCTGGCGAATTTGGTGCAGGACGCCGTGCTGGTGATTGCATGCGACGGCCTTTTGGGACCTGCTTCCTTTTCAACCATGCTCAAGACCCCACGTGACTTCACGTTCCTTCCTTGAACATCATTGAGCATCACACAACAGACATCTGGCGTGGAGGCAAGTCTTGGCCTTGAAACGTTTTATAGAGCTGCCTCAATCGGACGGCTTCCAACTCGATCGAGGCCCGGCGTGACAAGACTGCAGACCGATTCTGCTGACCTTGTCGAAGCACGTACACTGCACTTGAGCGCAAGGCCAGAGCAACACCTCCAGTGCCACAAGCTGTTTCTGAACAGCACGCGTAGATGCGTGCTTATTGGGGGGTACGATGCATTGTATCCAGGCAGATACTTACCTACCCCGCATGCCACCTTGACTTCAAGGCGTGAGGATAGGACGTGCCATCCAAGTGCTTCTCGCTTCCTGGAGTATTGATGATGCGTTTGCTTATGTTGCACGTTTCAACGGTGTGGTGCCTTGTGCTGCCGAAACTTGTTGTCATTGCTAACCCTCCACCAAAACCTAAGCCCCAAGCCCGAGACCCACCCCAAATATCTAAGAAAATCGGCCAAGACACACACCAGCAAACAATTCAAGACAATTCTTTGAAAGTCCCATTAATGTAGGAACCTGATTAAGAAACCCTGGCCCTATAACCCCAATACTGTAGGGCTCATAAAGAAAACCCTAATCGAAGCCCAGGGTTTCTTAG